GGAGAGGAGAGGAGAGGAGAATAGAGGAAGTGGAAGAGCAAGAGGGGAAGGGAGAGAGGGGGGAGAGGGAGAACAAGGGAAGGGGCAAGAGTGAGAGACTGATTTAGGATAGTACACTGATAGCTCCCAAAGAGGAAACAGCAGACTTTACTCATAAGGCTGTGAAGATTTCTCTGCAAATAAAAAGACTTTGAGGTGCAATATTATCTGTGTAAAAATTGTACCCTCTTCCTTTAGCAGATTTTGCTTTGCCACTAAGAAAGATGGGACTGGGGTGGGACGGATAATCTACTTCCTGGGGCTTCAGTTGTGAGGGTTTTAGGGGGTAGGGGTAGTAAGAAAAGTTAAAATTTAGATTTATAATCTGATGTCTGTGATAAGTGCCTAACCCATTTCCATAGTTTCTATTTTTAAACACTAAACACAGAAAACACTGCTTCAGCAATATGAAGAGATCTGTAAATGTTCAGATTTCTGCTTTACTCTAAGGTTCCTAAGCCACATTCTCAGCAAGCATCCATCTGTAACTTGATTGTCAGGAAGTGTCACGAGGTGCAGTCAATGGTGAGGACAAGACCCTTCACTCCAATAGTATCCATAATAAAAACATCCCCAATAAAATAAGAGTTGAACATATCACAGAGTAAACATGGAATGAGGATAACACTATCTCTGGTTATTGGAGGTTTAAAATGCTTACTTTAAGTTTCTATATTAAACATGATATAATGATTCTTTAAACTTTAAAAATCACATACTATTTTAATTGACAAATATTATAAATGGTAGCAATTTAATTAACTTAGGCTATACAAGTAAAATTCACAGGACAGAAAATATTACAAATACAAAATTACTTATATGTTCTAACTATATATAGAATTGTGAATTTGGAGTAGCAAAAACATCAGTTCTTTCTTTAAGAAGGACAACTAACCTAAGGGTGATTTAGCGAATTTATTAAGCTCCTTTTCTCTACTTTCAGGTGCATATTCTCAGCTCCTAAGAAGCCCTTTCTTAAAGAAAAAAGAGCTGATTGAAGATTTGATAAGTGTGTATATGCACAGGCTGGCATCTGGGTTCACTGGAAAAGCGAAGCTACAAGTGAAAAGAAAGCCACCTTCAGAGCTAACGCAAGTCTTGAAATTAAAATAAGGAATATTTTCCTATCAATCATTTATGTATTTGAAGTGAAGTCAATGTCCAGAGGTGAAGATCATGTCAAGTTCTCTAAGAGTCCTTTGTTTTCAGCTTCTTGGACTAGCTGACTTCCAGTCTTCTACGTGTCTTCATATGTGTCTACAGGAGCTAAAGAACTTCCACAGATGACTGGGGGTGAGGGCTTTGTCTCTTGAGATTATTTGATAATTCTCCTGGGGAGGCCTGGCCTTGCTGATGAACTAGAGGGCTGCCGCACAGTTAGCTTGCATATGCTACATGCATTACAAGCCATTGCTTATGATACTGGCATGGACAGACGGACGATTCACATGCGTGGTATCACTGATGGTCTGTGATTCTCGACCTCGTCTGAGAGAATAGTTTTGAATACGAAATGAAGAAGAAACCACAGGGGAAGAAAACATTCATCTAATGAAAACAAAATTAATAAAAGCTTTGGCTCCCAGCTGGTCTTATTGGATTCTCTTTATTTAAATCTTTAATATTAGCACAAACTGTGTCCAAATGCTAATAAGACAGCATAATTATCTTTCAATTATGTATTTGCTGTTTGATTAAATATTAAGGCTCTATAAGTGGTTGTACTTTGCATGGAAAAGCAAAATAAAATGAAGATGCAGTTTCACTGGAGGATTAACTGGGCCCTAACAATGTGGAATGGGACACGCTGGTGGTGGGGGAGATGCCATGGTGGTGGGTGGCAGGGGCGATGCCAGTCTTAGGTTTTGGTTGATTGGGAGAATAAGAACATTAAAAAGCTAGCACTCCAACTACTGTTATACACAGGCTCACTCTCTGCTTCTGTCCTGTTTTCTCTAAGGTATTTCATCAAATTCATTAAAACTACTGATAGGACACAACCCTTAGTCAATGGTAACTCCCTCATCGTGGTCTTCCATACTATGAGCTAGCAGTTTTTGTGTTTCTCATTGTGGTATTTTGAATGTAATTGGCCTCTATAATCCCAAAGGGAGTGGCACTATGAGGAGGTGTGACCTTGTGGAGTAGGCATGGTTTGGTTGGAGTAAGTGTGTCACCGTGGAAGCAGGCTTTAAGGTCTCCTACATGCTCAAGATATCACCCAGGGTCACAAACCATTTCCCGTTGCCTGTAGTTGTAGGACTCTCAGCCAGTTCTCCAGAACCACGTCTGCCTGTACGCTGTCATGTCCCACCATGATGATAATGGGCTTAACCTCTGAAACTGTAAGGGAGCCACCCCAATGAAATGCTTTCCTTTATAAGAGAACTCCTGGGTAAACTGGAGGCAAGAGAGTAGGGTAGAGAGAAGGGGATGGGGGATGAGATCATGAGGGAACAGGATGGTCAGGTTGGGGAAGGGATGGAGTGGAAGAGCATGGCATAGAGATCCTGATACAGGAAGTCATTACAGGATTAGGGAGAAACCAGTTACTAGGGAAATTCCCAGGAATCCACAAGAATGACTCCAGCTAAGACTCATCAATAGTGGAGAGGGTGCCTGAACTGACCTTTCCCTGTATTCAGATTGGTGACTACCCTAACTGTCATCATAGAACCGAAATCCAGTAACTGGTGGAAGCAGACGCAGAGATTCACAGCCTAGCACCAGGCTGAGCTCTGGGGGTCCAGTTGAAGAGAGGGAGGAGGGATTATATGAACAAGGGGTAACAAAATTATGATGGGGTAATCCACAGAGACAACTGACCTGAGCTCGTGGGAGTTTACAAACTCTAGACCAACAGCTGAGGAGCCTGTATGAGACCAAACTAGGACCTCTGCATATGGGAGCCAGTTGTGTAGTTTGGTTTGATTGAGGGGTCCTGGCAGTGGGACCAGGATCTACCCCTGGTGTATGAGCTGACTTTTTGGAGCTCATTCCTTACGGTGGATGCTTTGCTCAGCCTTGATGCAGCAGGCAGGGGTTTGATCCTGCTTCGACTTAATGTGCCAGGCTTTGTTGATTACTCACAGGAAAACTTACCTTTCTGAGGAATGGATAGGAAATGGTTTGGGGGAGGTGGGGGAGGAAGTGGGAGGAGGGAAGGGAGGGAGCGCTGTAGTTGGTATGTAAAATGAATAAATTTGATTTTAAAAAAATTAAAAAAATAGTTTCCATGGTTATGGTGCATCTTGATAGCAACAGAAACCTTAACTAAGACATTGAGTTTTTTTTTCACAAAGGGTCAGGACGTGAGTGTTCCTGGCTCTGTGGGCTGCACCGTGCCTCTTGCCATCATGGTGTCTGTCTAAGTAGAGCTGGATAAAACAGAGTCATAGGTGCTCAAATCAGTAGAGTTGCTATTGTCGACACTGAAATTTGAATCCATACAACTTTCATAACAGCCTTTTCTTTTGATCTTTTAAGTCATTAAAAAAATATACAGCCACTTTTTAGCGCATAGCCTGTACAAAACAAGCAGTGGGCAGCTATAAGCTGTGACCTATGCTATGGTGTGCACTTATCAAGTTTGCAAGTAGGACTCTGGGATGATACATGAAGGAAAATGACTACACTAAGTGACAAAACATAAAAATTATGGTTGATTTAAAAGAAAAAATAATTTTGGCATTAGATTGAGAGAAACACAATGCTAAGCACGCCTGGGCCTTATTTCACCATGTAGGCAATCCTAGGAATGACTGGCCACTCGTTCTGTAACAAGGACTGAAAATCAAAGCATCGAAGTCACAGCAACATTTATTGATAGAAACAAGAGACTAGGGACAAGTATGGAGTCAGGCACAGGGTTCAAATCCGACATGAAGTGCTGGCTGAACGACTGGGAAGTTTGACTTCTCTGTGCTTTCAATAATAATTCAAATTAAGGGGAAAGCACTCATTTGAGCACTTTGATAAAACCCATCAGACTTGGATATTTTTAGAAAGAAACATTTGTTTTTTAAAAAATTTAAACTTCTTGTTGATTTGTATATGATTATGAGGAATGGCCCAGAGACATATATGTCTCCTTTGTTCAATTTCTCCCACTATGAACACTTCATAATTGTACTACAACATCCCAACTAGAAAATCGACAATGGCACAATCCAGATTTTAAATAGATTTCATCAGTTTTATATGCACTCAAGCATGTATGTGTCTCTGTGTGTATGTGTGTGTGTTGTCTTGTGTTCAGGTCTTTGCTGAACCTGTTGTTTAACAGAAACATCAGATAGACAGTTGAGCCATACAAATGGCACAGGTTTTTTTTTGCATTCATGTAGATCACACAATTGAGTATTATTACCGAGATATATAGCATAATAATCTGATAGAAATCAGCTACCTGGGTTTGATCTGCTGCTGTGTGTGTGGTCTCTTCCCCCTCCTTTGCTCTTCTGCACCCCCAAAGTTTAACTCTACATTGAAGAACTAAGATACATGAATAATGAGGTTAAAGATAATAACCCAAACAAGTTCAACTATTTAGAGAGAAGCTAAAGACTTAATTCTTTTAAATTCAGATTTTGAATAAAAGTTTTATCATCACACCAAGCCTTTCAGTCTGAATTCCTTTTCACTCCAAGCTGGGTAAGGTGATTTGATCCACAAGGGCAGAGAACGTCCTGCACACCTGCTCAGCTCTGCCATACAGTTCCATGTCCAATGCAGGATGTGGACCTGAAACCAGCAAGCAAAAGAACTTTTAGGAAATACATCTCCTGGAACCTGAAGATCTGTGTGGCTTCAGCTCTCACCCACAAAGAATCAGATCCCGTCTTTCTCCATTTGCATTTCCTTAACAGAGAAGATACCCTATTCTTCACTCAGTATCCAATTCACCCCATGGGACCCAAGAGCCTACTAGAGAATGCTCTCATAGAAATATTGCTGTATATTGTAACCTTCTGAAGAGTGTTGAAACACACTGGTAACCACTCCCCACCACAGGAGTTGTATTCAGTCCCTCTGGGACCAGCCAGCACATCTGTGTCTGCAAATTCCAGGTGGCACGGGTGCCGCTGGCTGAGGCGCCATATTCTGAGACTACCTCCCTGCCACTAATGAAGACAGAGACCCCTCTCCCCCAAGAAAGCCACAACTCATAAATGAAAAGAGTAACCGATTTGAGGAACCCAACTCCGGTTGACCCATGAGACAATGCAACCTCTATACCTAAGGGAGCCTCATGGAAGAGGGGATGAAAGAGGCAGAGGACCAGGACCTCTGTTGTGAGATGACAGTGTTTTCTATATGCAACAGGGAAGTTGTATCCATGACACTTCAACAATAAGGCAGCCTTGTTTAAGACCTGAACAGTGACAACACCAGCTGAAATGCCAGCATGAACGGGGAAGATCTCATGGGGCTCTACCCCTACATGAACAGCTACTAGCAATTAATGGTTACTGAGTCTTCCCTAGTGAGGAGTCCCCTACCTGGTTACCTAATACCAAGGAGATCCTAAAACATATACATACAACGCTAACATAAACATATACAATCCTAAAATCATACACGTACAGCAACACTATATGGACTTAGTGGGTTGTATTTATACATTTGTTCATATTATATACAGAAACACTAATAATTAAAGGAAAAGAGGCCATAAATTTGAGAGAGAGCAGGAACTGGAGATAAATATGGACGCGATGAGAGGGAGCAGGAGGGAATAAAAGATGTAAATACAGTAATATATAGCAAAGTAAAAAATAATTAAAAAAAAAGATTTTAGTGTTCCCACCAATCTGTTGTAATAACGATTGTGTTGTAGAACAGGATTTGGCAGCTGTTTTAAAAAATATGATGTGTATAATATTCAAAACAAGAATTTTTTTAAAAAATCCGTGTTTATATACATTTAAGCATCCCCTAACATGTTGAAGAAGTAGACACATGTGTGGAGATAATTTTTTAAAATAAATCACCCCAAGCTGCTAAGCATGACAACCCGTAAGAAAGAAGGCAAGTGCAGGTCACGCTAAGGAAATAGCTTGCAGGAAAGTTGTGGACTTCGCCATGTTACTTCACAGACAGCACATGTTATTACGTAACTGAAGAGAAACAAGATCCCTCACTGAAGACTCGGAACCTCTTCCTATAGCGATATGGTTATACTGTCACTGTATCTTCACTGTTTTCTGTTGACCCACGAGGAGTCCAAGCCAGCGCTACTCTATACATCTCTCACACTGCTCCGGGTGTCCAAGGACCTTGGATAAACCATATTTCATAGCCTGGATAAAAAACTTTTTTTCCAAGCAGAAAACCAGTTTCAAAGTATTATTTTTCTTTCCAAAGCAATAAAAATTTTAAATATAAAAGTGTATTTATTGAACTGTTGACTTATTCATTTATTTGCCTGTGCGTGTGTATGTGCATAGGTGGAGCTTGCACCTCCACACATGTGTAGATCAGAGGAAAATTCTCTCCTTCCACCATGTAGGTTCCAGAGACATCAGTCTAGGTCAGTCTCCTTCACTTGGTGGCCACCTCTTCTGCTCACCAGTAAAAACTTTAAATATAGTGATACAGAAATAGCAGTAATCCATTTTGCAAGAGTTTTGTTTTTTGATTGTTTGTCTTAGCTCCATTATTTCAAAAATATGTTTTAAAAATAACAGAAGATATGACCCACCGTCTAGCCCACTACTTGATCTATACTTGTAAAACACACACACACATACACACACACACATGCAGACCAAGTAACAGGCTATGTACAAATAGGTATGCACATGTGTGTTGAAGTAATATAGCACATAGATTAAACACTAAAGAGATATAGTATCTGTGAAACTACAGATGATTCAGAGGGAATCACAATAGCAAAATTATTCACTTAAATATAATTCATGTCAAGTATGTGCTAGAAAAGTATCAGTGGTAAATATAGAGACTAGAAATTATTGAACTGTCTGGTCTACAATTATTCCTCTAGGTAACTGAATGACATGAACCCATGTCCTTCTTAAAGTCATCAAGCCAGCCAAGCGGTGCATGCCTCATTTCAGTAGTGTGGTCTTCTGTATTCCTCTTTAATATATTTCCTTTCACCAGATGGCTTTGGGGCTAGGATAGTTTTGACTGGTAATGCTCCTTTTCTTTGAGCATTTTTAACACATCAGATGATTTCTCTCTGCCTTGAGAAGTGCATGCATTGTGTTATGAAGGCTGTTCTTGCCATGTTCGAAATTTTCTTTTGTATCTGTGTTCTGCAATTTGATTATAATGTGTCTTGTTTTGTGGCAGACTCCTTCGAGTTTATGTAATTTGGGGTCCCCATAGCTTCATTCTTCTTCCACTCCACTGTGTTTCCAATCCTTGGTGCTTTGGGCCATTGTTTCCTTGGCTGTGCTTCTGACCCTCTCTCTGCTCTGCACTTAGAGCTTGTGTCATAGGCACGATGGTGCCCGGCAGCATGCCGCATCTCTCTGGCTTTCTTCTCTCCTCACGTCTCTCCTCTGGCTCCCTTCAGATTGATTCTATTCTCCAGTGGGCCCTTCCACTGAAATTTTATTTTCTCTTTGAATTTCTGTTTAATTCAACACACTTTGTTCTTTATTAAAATTCTCATTTTTCATTCATTGCTCACCTGAGTTCATCGACCATCTTTCTGGAAGATTAGTATGTCAACCTAAATGCTAACTTAAAATATTGATAAACTTCTTAAATCTTCCTGTCAGTCCTGGCTTCTGTTTTGTTGTTAGAAGCCCCAGGGATGTAAAATGTAAAGCTAGATCTTTTCAATCCTGTGAGACAGATATTTTTTTTACAAAAGTCTTTACCACTGTCACCACCAATAAAACCAGAGCCCACACCATCTATAAAAACATTTTAATGATGCTACTGAGTCTGTACTTAGAAACAAATGAAATGTTGGGACTTTAAATTTTCTAAAAGATCAAGTAATTCTAACTGCATATTGTATATTATTATGTCATATGAATTTAGAATTAATCTTGTCTTTTATGATTTTTTTCTAATTACACAATAGTGCATGTATAAACACATTGTAATGGTCTGTTCTGCCCCTTTAAGAGACAAACTCTGCCTACTCCCTCCCTCATCTGCTGAGGCAAGCAGATCTTCCTTCAGCTTCCAGCTTGAGCCTCTCTTCCTTTTCTTCTTTTGCTCCCCCTCAAAGAGGAAAAGGTAGCTGCTGCTGTGGCTGCCTTCCCCCTTTATCTCTCTCTCTCTCTCTCTCTCTCTCTCTCTCTCTCTCTCTCTCTCTCTTTCCTCTCTTTCCTCTTCCCCCTTCTCCCTTTACCCCCTTTCCCTTCCATAACTCACTAAGTAAATACCCACTTTCTCTGCATGGCTGTCTCTGCCTCTCACCTACCATGTGGCTCCCTGCCTGGGACCATACACCACTCAGGGAACTGCAGCAGCGTTTTTACCACCGCAGCTCCCTGTGGCCCGCTGCCCACTGCAGCTGCTAGGGGAACTATGCCATTTTATTTTTACCATAGTTCACATATGAATACATTTATATAGAGAGATCCTGATAGCTTTTAATCATGCATTGATCCTTTACCATTATTTATTAAACTGGATCTTAGAGGATTGAGTGTCAGATACATAGTTCAAACTGTTTGCTTCCAGAGAAGGAATTTTGTATTTGAGGTTTATTAGTTTCATGGTTTTTTTGTTTGTTTGCTTGTTTACTTGCTTGCTTTGTTTTGTTCTTTCTATCATCTATCTATCTATCTATCTATCTATCTATCTATCTATCTATCATCTATCTATCTATCATCTATCTATCTATCTATCTATCTATCTATCTATCTATCTATCTATCTATCTATCTGTCATCTATCTATCTATCTATCATCTATCATCTATCTATCATCTATCTATCTATCAATCTATCATCTATCTATCTATCATCTATCTATCTATCTATCTATCTATCTATCAATCTTTAGAAATACTTGAGTAAGAAGATACACATTGAGAACCACTGAGGTTAACACGTATCTTCATGCCTTATTCTTGAGCCATGCAAAGAAAGATGACAGAAAAAAAGAGCAAATGTAAATCTTAAAAATTAGCATGTTAGGGGTTTGATTAGACTGATCAGTGAGTAAGGATACTTTCTGCACGAGCACAAAGACCTGAGTTCAAATCCCTCCCACTCACATAAAAACTTGGGTGTTGCCGCACATAGGTGTAACCCTAGCACAGTGGGAGGTGGAGACAGAAGCATGGCTAGCATGGATGGATGGATGGATGCTGGCCTACCTCCAGGTTCAGTGAGCAACCCTGTCTTGAGGGAATGAAAAGTGACAGAGCAGAAACCCCAAGGTTCTTTTCTGGCTTCCTGGGTGTCTGCAGACTTACTCACCATCAGCACACCACATACACATATCTCACACACAAAAAGAAAATCGTCATTTTTTGAATCATAAGAATATTTTCATAATAATAAAGCATACTTTCTATAATAATACCTCAATAGTTCTACTGAGTCTGTGAGTGGAAGGAAACAGGTGAAAATTTGACACTTGAAAAGTACTTCTTAAAAGTTAGATAATTCTAATAACACATTACACATTAGCACAGCATCTAAACTTAGAAACGCACCTACTCTTTTATAACCTTTTAAATTTTATAATTTTCTTTTAATGGCATAATGAGGATAAATACGTATAAATATATTTCAGGTACAGATGGTAAATTCATATAAGATATCAAAATACAGCCCTAGACTATGAGGAATCCAAAGTATGCACTGTGGCAACTGTATTTGTGAGCGCTGACCCAGTAAAAGTTTAGAATTCAGAAACCCGCATCAACTCACTTGGAAAACAGAAACAAAGCAAAAAGCAAGGTAAAGATGCAGAATGCTAAGTCTTTTCAATAGAGCCCAATGGACTAGTGACATTTTCCTGAAGTGGATATTGACTTTTTTTTTGAATATTCATCACGCCCCAAGCATGCTTAGGCAGAACTGCAGTGCATGGAATTCATGTTGGTTCGAGAATCAGCATAAAGGATTTTTTTCATCCTATCTTTGTCCCGTGCCCCTGACACCTCTGAGGATTCATGTCCTTTTCGACCATGACTGTGACTTCCACTCTATTTACAATACTTTCTATTTCATTGATCAGACGCTGCCAGGTTCTGTAGAGAACTGGCATTGTTATGTGTCTAAGTCATACCTTTTCAATTGCCACAGGCTGAACTGTAATCCCCAAATCCCCAAGTTTATATTTTAAAGTTTTAATCCCAGAACCTCAGAATATGACAACATTTAGAAATAGTGTCTTTACAGAGATAATTACAACACTGAATGGCCTCAGAGGGTTTTTTTTTCTTAATTGTGTGTGTGTGTGTGTGTGTGTGTGTGTGTGTGTGTGTGAAAAAGATAATTCAGTTAAAATGAGGTCATTGGGATGGCCTTATTCAAATATGACTAGTGTGCCTAAAAGAAGAGAGGGATGTAAGCAGACACAGACTGAAGGCCATGTAGACATGGACAGATGACAATAACCAAAAAATGAAGGAAAGAGGCTGCAGAAGAAGCCAGTGTTACTGACATCTTGAGCTTGGATTTGTAGCTTCCAGGACAAAGGAGAAATCATATCTCCCCCCCTCCTGTTTTCACCCTGCCCTGCTCCCATCCAAGCCCCTCCCCTCCTCTCTTTCCTTTCCTTTCCTTCCTCTTTCTCTGTTTCCTTTTCCTTTTTTTTTTAAATTTTACTTATCTTTCTTTCTTTTTTACTCAAGTTTTGTCCTCTGTATTGCTGTATGGTATCTGTAGAAAACTAGTATATTAACTCATAACTGTTATTCTTTGGGTCCCTGCCCTAGCCACGCCCACTCCCATAACCTCTGACCCGCCCGTCGCCATCTTGGGACCCCTCTCTCTCTTTCTGCTTCCTTGGCGTGTGCACGCGTTTTCCTCTGTCTCTCTCTTCTTTTATCTCTTTTCTCTCCTTTTATCTCTTTTCTCTTTCTTTCTCCCTCTTCCTTAATAAATACTTATGGCTATTTCCTGTGTTTATGCGTCTGCTACCTGCCGCCACCTTGGGCCAAGGAAGCGTGCCCTCCTGTAGCCACTTTCTCATGGCGGGCTCCGCCAACCCACTGCTGGAATCGTTTTTTAAGAATAACAATAACCATGTTGAGAAAGCTTCTTCCGGTGCAGAAACACACACACACGTCATTTCCCCACACCCACAAGTCTCTAGATTATACAGATTTCCTATTGAGAAACTGTTAGCCACAGTAAACGTGTGTGTGTGTGTGTGTGTGTGTGTGTGTTCTAACTATAAAAAAAGATGGTGAGCCTACAAAACAGAGTTTTAGTAGAGGACCAAAAGCCTTCATAACTTAGCAATAACTTACAACTTAGAACAGAGAACCCTCACTCAGCCATGCCAAAATAGAAGCATCATTGTCCTCATTTTTAAATGGTGGCTTTGCGCTGCTCAGTTATGCATGGTGTAAGATTAGTAACATCAATTGCACTTTCAAAATAATAAATATTTGCTTAATGTATGTGCTAGATATTATAGTAAAGTCTTGCATGACTGATAAGCTTTAGTGCTCATGGTGATCTTATGAATTAGCTAATACCAGGAATTGAATTCCAAGACTGAGACATCACATGAAGTTCAGTGTTTTAACAGGCAGCCTGAGTTCCTGGCCATCCCTCTCTTTCGGCTGTAAACCTTACCTGACCAGCACTCCTCAAGGCAGAGGCGTATCTCTGAGAATTCAAGGCCAGCTTGGTCTACATAGACAGTTCAGTGCCAACCAGGACTGCATACTGACACATGTCTCCAACACGTACACACAGTAAACAACAAACATAACAACTCAAATGACAAAACCCAGCGTGCACCTCACCTGGTGGCGTGTCTGGGTCAAAGGCATCCAGGAGTCTGGGCAACAGTGTTTGTAGTTCCTCTTCTTCCTGATCATTCCCTCTTTCACTGGTGTGGTCTGTCTCTTTCCCTTCTGAAGGTTCCAGAGCAGGACCGCTCACTTCAGAGGGAGGAATCTGGGGATTGTCCTGCAGTCCCTCTTGGCAATCAGAGAGGGCATTATAGACTTCCCTTAGCATCCTTTGTGGGCGGCCTTGTGTCCTGGTGCTCTGCAAAATGATCTCTGGGGATTCAGTGTCTGGCAGAGCTCTCCCTGAACTTGCTTGACATTTGCGGTTTCTGTCAGCATTGGCAGAATTAGGGAGAAGTTCCTGTTCCAGACCACACCTACTGGTACTCTCAATGTGGGGATAGTCTCCTCCTACCCATAGCCCATCCCTGGGTAAAGAATGATCCATCTTGGATGCTGTGTTTTGAGATGAAGATGAAGGACGGAGTGGTCGCAACATAGCCTGGGTGAAGAAAAACTTGTTTAGGAAGAAATAACTCTTACCTTCCCTACAAATGTATTACGTTTCAACATCCCAAAGACATTGGAGGCATGTTTCTTGCTTCACTCTCGATATTTAAGTAATTTTATTTTATGCTGTTCAATATAAATTTAAAATTCTGTAATATTGGTACAGTTCATATAAAATGTGTCAGGAGTGACCCCAGGAATTTGGGGAAACATCTAGATCTGGGCATGTCTGGCCATAAAGGTGCCATAAGGAATTTCTGAAAATGTACTCATGGCGATTGACAAGCACGGATTACTACAATATAACGTGCTCTTAATGATAGGCCTCAGAGTGTGTTTTGAGGGACTTCACGAGAAGCTGGAGGTATAAAAGCTTAGGATGTGTTCCACTGCTTTGAAGGTTGAGTCAGGGTCCTCAGGATTTTAGAAACTCTTGTAGAAGTCTGTGGGGTAAAATTATGTCTATAGCCATTCTGTGAATTGTCTATCACACTGACTTGTGCAGGCATGGTTCACAGTCAGCAATAAATGTAGACATCACTGTCTCGGCAGAAATCTGAGTGACATTAACACATAAAAACTCATACAATCAGTTAAAAATAGACAGCTTCACTTTCTATCCTGTGGAAAAGCAAAAGTTCCAAATTTTCTTAATAATTGGCCTTTCCAATGCTTTGTGTAGTGAAATGGAAAACACCCATACAGTGCTCCAGATGTGTCCTGAAACAGATGTTTCTGCTCGAGCCAAGGAAAGACCGACAGATTATAACTGGTTAGACCCGGGTAGTAGGTAATGATTTTTCTCGGGGAAAAAGGAGAAGAAAATGAACATGACACTTCCAAGAACTTGATTAATTTTATTTGCTGGTGTTTGTAACAGTCAGGGTTTCAAGCAATAATTAAAATTTTAGAAAGCTTGTATCTGCCACGGGTCGGTGGAATGGCTGTTCAGTTCTTAAATGTTGTTTTCTGACAATGGTGAAACTCAATGTGAGAATGTTTCTTCTTATCTTTCTTTCTTTAAAAAAAATGTGTAATGAAATGGGCAAGCTGTAGGAAGCTCAGTATAGCTCAGCAAGTCAATATGACCCGTGGCCAATATATGCTACGAAATGAAACCTGGGTATTTCCGCTCAGAGAGCAGCTAGAACACTGACTGGGATTTTAATAAAGCCGAATATGAAACAGATCTGATTTTAGATTTCATAATGCACCTATCCTTTAAAAAACAATTGCCTTTTGTGTTTGATGTGTCAGTGGATACTATCTTAGTTATGTGAAAGTCTATAGAAAGATTTCTTTCTTTTAACTATATCACTACGTGAGACTGGATTTCTTCACACACCTTAAGCAAACCTCTCAATAGATTGCTCACAGTGAGGGAAAATAGGTTGTCTTTCATTAAGTCAGACATTATAGAGGCTTAACAAAGCAAACAAATCACTGATACTCTTGCAGGCTCTAAAATCACCCAGCTGTGGCCTGAAAATGTTACACATAGTGTGGTTGATCCACTTCATGTCTCAGTTAGTTAATGACTGTGTTTTTGGAACACTTCCCAAACACCTCTCAGTTGTTGGTGTTTTTCTTCCTTGATGGGTAAAAATAGCAGCAGGTACAACCCACAGAGATAAAGGCTCCCAGAGGAGTGCTCAAAGTTTTTCTAACAATGTACAAAGAGAGCTTGAGATCAAACACTACGCAGGAGCACTTGCTTCTATTGCTTCCTCAGTATGGAGGGTGGGAGTGGGCGAAGACCTGGGGAGAGGGAAGAGGGAGGAGAAGAGGTTGAGCCAAGTGACGTGGGAAACTCTGTGAAAGCAGCCCGCCCCAGCTGGGCAGAGCAGACTTGAGGTTAGATTTCCAGGCAGTTCAGGTAGCCAGTGGCTCTCACGTTTGTACCTGTAGGTCTTGTCTTATCTGCTGTAGTTTGGTCCACAGGTTATCCTGGTTGGTCGCGAGCTCCTGAATCTTAGTTTCAAATCTTCGATTCTGTTCTTTTTGTAAGGTGCATGCACCTTGCAATTTGAGTTTGTATCTATTTAACTGTTTTCTGAGGAGCCTGGAAAAGAAACAGGTTTGAGTAAGGGTGGAAACTCACACCTATGGCCCAGCTGGAGCTTTGCAGGTCCTCCTGGTTGGTGGTCTGTGCCCTGACTACCATCTGACTCCACCAATAGCTCTTTCTGCCCTCTGCAGGGATGCTTTTGTCCTTTGAGGTTGTTGCTCGAGTTACGAGTTACGTCCTCGTTTCCTGCAATCTGTGATAATATATTTTACACTTCCAACAAGGCTTTTTGACTTCCCTATTACTTCCCTGTGAAGCAAAACCCCAGTCTCATCCCTGGCTCTGCCTACACCCTTCCTTTATTTGTTTTTCTGTATTGTTTTTCTCTGTATTCCATTGCAATCAAGTTTGGTGAGATCACAAGTTTTTATCTAGTCTCTGGCCTTAATTCTGAGCTTACACACTCATATACTTTCTGTTTTATTTATACATTGCCAAATCATTTCATTGTACATTGTTTTACAATCCTGGAAACCCACGTACCTTGTTTATCATCCCATTTCCTGGTTCTGGCACATAGTAGGTATATGATTAGTATGGCTTTGTTCTTTGGTCAGTTTTGTTGGCACTGTTGGACTCTGGCGTCCAAACACCGAGAAGGAGTCGCCCCCAGAGACCACACACCACAGCCGATGCAAAAGCATGAGGATTTTATTAATTCTGTCATGACAGGGTCCCCCAGCATTCGGGAAGCCGAGGGACCTCGAATAGCGGGTACAGTCTACTTTTAAAGGGGCTACAGAAGCAAGGGGGGTTGTTCTTTGACTATTCTGATTGGCTTATTTGAAAGGGCTA